TCAGCTTCAAGAACATGTGCAAGCTGAAGCCGCTGCTGCAGCGTTGGCTCAACGAGGCGGAGAACACGGACAACATGCAGGAGGTGCGGGGCTGGGGAGGGCCGGGAGGCGGGGGTACCGCGCAACAGTGAGCCCTCGAGCTACAGCTTCTCCTCCCTTTAAAGCGGGAGAGAGGAGAGGAGCAGCAGGCGCAGGCGTCTTGTGCAGCACCTCACTGCCGCGGCTTCAGTCCGGCTGTGGGGGGGACCACTGGGTATTGCCTTCTGCCGGGCTGGGGGGAGCCCAAATACCTCCCCCAGACACCTTGTGGGAAGTGGCAGATCCTGTCTCTGAGCACCCAGATCCTGCTGGAGTCTTGGGTAAGCTGGAGATGCGTCTTGCTGCTCTCTGGGGGGATGCAGGAAGATGTGTCCGTGCTCTCTGCCACCAGCTGCAGGCAGTGCTGGGGCGCTGGGAATGGCCCCAGTCACGGTGAGGTGATGCTCAGTGGACAGTCACAGGGTCCAGAGCCTGTCCCCAGACCTCTGCAGCCAGCCGCAGGTGTGTCCAGAGCCTGGTGGAGACACTGCCAGCCCTGTGACGGAGCCTGTGGCCTCTCTCTCATTTCCAGATGTGCAATGCGGAGCAAGTGTTGGCCCAAGCCCGGAAGAGAAAACGCAGGACCAGCATCGAGACCAATGTGAAGGGGACGCTGGAGAGCTTCTTCCGCAAGTGCGTGAAGCCCAGTCCCCAGGAGATCTCCCAGATCGCCGAGGACCTCAACCTGGACAAAGACGTAGGTTGGGAGGGTTCGGAGGGTGGATGCCCCAACGGATGTGGTTCCCAGGCACCCACATCAGGCCCGGTTTGATACTGGGAGAGTGGCCATGGCTGGTAGCCACCATCAGCTTGTCCAAGCCCAGCCCCAGAGGAGCTGTGGCAGGGAGGTGGGTGGCTGTGCTGGCGGGTTGGGATGCTGTGGAGATGCCAGCAGCAGAAGGGTCTCTTTGTCACCCACACAGCGCCTGGGCTCACTCCCCTCACCCATCCCCGTCTCCCTCCTCGCAGGTGGTGAGGGTCTGGTTCTGCAACCGGCGCCAGAAAGGGAAACGGCTGCTGCTGCCCTTCGGCAACGAGGCGGAGGGCGTGATGTACGACATGAACCAGTCCCTGGTGCCCACCGGCCTGCCCATCCCGGTGACGTCCCAGGGCTACAGCCTGGCGCCCTCCCCTCCCGTCTACA